GCCTCCGCCGCCGCCCCGATGGGCGCCGGACCCCCCGGGGGTCCCCGTCGGGTTTGCCAGTGCAGGCGGGTGACGGCATCCCAGGGCACCAGTTGGATCTGGGCCTGGATGCGCAAGTCCTTGAGGAGCTGGCGCAGCTTCTCCTCCTGGGCATGGGGCATGGCGCCTGCCTCCACGCAGAGGAAGAGGCGCAGATGGGCCCGGCGCCAGGCCCGCGCCATGTTAAGGACGCAGGCCATCTGCAGCAGGAAGAGGCTGCAGGTGTCGGCGTAGCGGGCACTGTCAGGCCGCAGCAGGTTGACGGGCCAGACGTGGATGGTGGGCGGGGGGCTGGCGGCCCGCCGCAGCTCCCAGGCCTTGTCCAGGCTCTCCAGCTGCCGGGCCAGCAGAACATTGCGAAGCATCTTCAGGGCGTCAGCCACGATGCCCACGTACTCCCGGGCTGACAGCAGCTTGGGGGCGGTGGGTGCCCGCAACGGGGGAAAGCCCAGGGGGACCTCCTCGCGGGCACTGGTGAAGGCGGGGTGCCGGGCCAGACCATCCTGCGGTGCCGCATCATCGTAGAAGCCCAGCACCAGGGTGTTGGGGCGCATCCCGCCTGCCGGAGAGACCGCACCGGCCCAGCTGAGCAGAGTTGGAGGGCCCCACCAGCCCTCCTGGCACTGCAGGTGCCAACAAGCCCCAGCTTGGCTTTGGCATTGCTCACCCTGGTGATTCATGCACCCTCAACATCATGCACCCAGGTGCCTCCAAGACCCAACTTGGCTTTGGCATTGCCCACCCAACACCTCTCCAAGCTCCAACTTGGCTTTGGCACTGCCCACACCAGGTGCTTCCAACCCCCTTGGCATTGCCCATCCAGGTGACCTCAAGCCCCTTAACATTGCCAACACAGATGCCTCCAAGCCTCAACTTGGCTTTGGCATTGCCCACCCAGGTGCCTCCAAACCCCATGGCACTTCTCACCCCACAGGGGCAGCAGGGTGGACCCTCACCCGTGCCCAGCCTGGGCGCCACTCACCGAGGCCAGAGGTGAAGAGGAGCTGCCGGACGCCGTGCCGCACCGAGGGTGCAAGGGTGAGGCTGACGAAGGCCTTGACATTCAGCTTGTCCACCAAGCTCAGCCACGAGTCCTGCTGGGGCTGCAGCGGGTCCGAGGGCAGCGTGTCTGGGTGGGGAGCGAGAACAGCATGAGGGGGTCGGGTACCCCATACCAGGGGCTCACCCTGGTGTCCCCGCAGCACCCCCCCTGCAAAACCAGTGCCAACCCCTGTGCCCACCCCAGCACCCACAAGATGGGGAGGGTGGAAGCAGGTGCTTCCAGCCAGAGATATGAAATTATACATAAATATATAAAAAATACCCAGGCAGCCCCATCCCCCCTCCCCAATTTCAGGCCATTAGTCACCACGGCAACGGTGGGGGCGGGCAGAGCCCATGCATCTGCTGGGGCGGGGATGGGGATGGCCACGGCATGTGCCAGGGAGCATGCGTGTGCAAACCAACACGCACCAGGGTCCAAACATGCCTGAAGCACATGGACAGGCATGAGGTGAGGATGGACACAGGCACACACATGTGCAAGGCTGTGTCAAGCATGTGCCCACGTGGGTGCTGGGTGTGCACAGGCGTTGACCCGTGCAACAGGACTGTGCTCCACAGGGGCCCAGAGGAGCCCGGGTGGCACATGCCATGTGTGCACACCAGTGCCGACACGTGCAGGAGCCCCATGTGCACATGTAGGGATGAATACTTGAGCACACACATGTGCAAGCATGCAGGACGTGTGCAAGCATGCAAGGAGGCATGGGACAGACACAAGCCACCTATGTCCCCCACACTGTGCCAAGCCCAAAGTGCCACACATGTGCCCGAAGTGTTGACATTCCCCCACTATGCCCACCCTGCCCAGCCAGGAGCTGGGCAGTGGTGGCACTCCATAGACTCTGGGAGCCCCCCAGCAAGGGGCAGAGGCCACCAGCGCTGGGGACAGGGCAGACCCTCACCCAAGTCCTGCAGCTCGACATGGCCCAGGACGTAGAGGCCACTCTTCTTGAGGTCATTGACGAAGTCAATGAGGCGGGCGCTGCCCCGCGGGTTCTGTACCATCAGCAGCATCTGTGGGCGCCAGAACTTGACGTGGTCCTTCCGCACGTCCAGCATCAGCAGATACTTCCGTACCTGGAGGGAGGGAGGGCAGGAGGTGAGGAATCCTCCTTCCTTCAGCAAACCACCCATGGGGATGCCAGCCCCGAGGACACGCTGCCCGGGGTGGAGCTGCCATGGAGACACCATCTTGGGAACACCAGCTCTCCACCCCAGGAGGGGACAGTGGAGGAGGACAGGGCTCACCTGGTGGAAGATGAGGGCCTGGCTGATGTAGCCCCAGGTGCTGCTGGGTGAGAGGTAGTGGAGAGCGAGGAGGAGGAGGAGGAGGAAGCCCAGGCTCACCGAGGCCGACACAGGGCTAATGAGGAACATCATGACGCAGCAGCCTGCGATGCCCAGCAGGCATGTGTGCCAGGTGAAGTACCGGAAGGTGGGCCTGGAGCAGGGAGAAGGGGACACCACTACCACGTGGCCCCCATGCCAGCTGCAAGGCGGGCACGGCAAGGGGGGCTGTGCCAGGGTACCAACTAGCCACCCCCAGCAAACCCTGCTGCGCCAGCCCAGGGCATGTTGGGCACCCCAGATGCCTGCAGGAGAGGGCAGAGAGGGGAGATTGTAACTCCCAGGGCATCGGGCAGCCCCTTGCTGCCAGCCCCTGGCAAACAGGGGTAATGATGGTTATGGGGCTGGCACGGCACTGCCCTGGCACGGCTCGGAGGCCAGGTAGTGTCGGGCAGCGCGTGGCAGTGCCGGCGGCCACGGCACCCGCTCAGCCTGGTGCAGGCAGGCGGAGGCGGGGAGGCAAGAAGCTGTTATTTTCTCTAATTGTTGTTTTTCCTGAAAGGCAATTAAAATCCTTTTCCGCTGCGCTTGATGGAGACCTCAGTGTGGGGAGGGGGGAGCACCAGATGTGAGGTGGGCAAGGGGACCATCGCCACCCACCCTAGCAGCCTTCCCCCCAGGCACCGATCCTGCCCCATCCGTGCCCGGCCAAGGGAACAGCTGGGGGGGGGCAAAGCCCCAGCCTTGGCACAGACACCAGCTCTCCCTTTGGAATGGGGTGCTCTGGGAGACCCCTGGGCAGTGCCACTCAGCCCTGCTCGGGCACCGCCTCTGTCCCCCCTGGGGGACTCTCCCTGCTTCAGAGGCACAGTACCCTGCACCGACGGCGGCAGGCAACACCCAGCAGGGAGATGAGGCTCCCCCCAGCCACCCCTGCTGTGCCCCCCCAGATTTGGGCAGCCCTATCAGGCCAGCCCTGTGCCAGGGTACCACCCACCCCCCACCCCAGGCCCCCCACCCAGGATCCCCCTCCCTCCCCCTTCCCTGTTAGTTTAATTAGCGCTAATGGAAAGTGGGCTCCATCACCGCTTGGCAAGCTGCCTGGGGGATGCCGGACGGGCACAGGCTATAAATTACCTCTGGAAAGCCTAAGGGGAGGGGGCGGGTGGTACCCGGTGGTGCTGGATTTATCTGTAGCCGCTCAGCAAAGTGGTGCCAGGGCATGGGGACTGTGCCAAGCCAGTGCCACGCCGGGACCTGGCCCCTTCTCCCTCCTGAGGGATGGGGGTGTCTTTGCCCCCCTTAATGCCCAGGAGAGGGGTGCTCAGCATTTCTGCCCCGCGGAGGGGCAGCAGGCAGAGGGTTGGCAAGGGAGCCACGGACAGATGGGTGGACAGATGGGTGTCTGCTCAGCATCTGAGCGCAGCCTCCCTCCCCTGTGCCAGCAGGTACCTGAAGTTGGGGGCCGATGCCCACTCCAGTGCCAGGCAGGCCAGGTTGACAGTGGCGTAAACCAGGAGGAAGAAGGTGGTCACAACGCCCGCGATGGTGTTGAGCTTCCCGGAGAAGAGCACCAGCTGCAGAGAGCAGGGAGGGGAGGCACAGGGTGAACGCACCCCCCGGGATGGCACTGCTGGCATGTGCCCGAGCCAGCCCTGCTGAGCCTGGAGCATCCTACGGCGGCGTGCCGGGAAAGGGTACGGGCAGTGCCACATGGGCATGAATCCCTGCCCCTTGGTGTGATTTATCCTTCATTTATGGGCTCGGGGAGGGAAGGGCACAGTCGCGACAGGACACCCGGGGCAGGGGGATCCCCCCGGGGCAGGGGGACATGCCAGGCTCCGTGACACCCAGCCCAGGCACCAACCCACCTTCACCCGGTGGGACTGGGAAAGGAGCATCACCAGCAAACTCACCTGTACCACCAGCCAAGAGAGGATCACCGCCATCACGGGGTTCCCACTCGCAGACGTCTTCTTGGCCAGTGTCAGCGCCCGGCCTGTGGGCAGAGCAGGGAGGTTGGGCTGGGGGACCTGGGTGAGCACCAACAGGCTCGGCCACCAGCCAGGAGTCCTGTCCCCACCCTGAGTGCTGAGGTGCAGGCAAACGCCAGGGCACGCAGGTGACCCGTGGGCACATGCCAACCCATAAAACGTCACCCCACACCAGCAAGAGGGTTGCCTGGTGCCAGGACTGGTCCCTGGCAGGGACAACCTGCTGGGTGGGGTCTGGCAGGTGCAGGCACGCTCCGGGCACTCACCGAAGAGATCATCCCGGGCCAGGGCATAGAGGATACGGGATGCCCCAATGAGGTTGCTCATGGCCGCGGAGAGGGTGGCAGCGTAGATGCCCACCGTGACCAGAGGTGGGAAGATACTGATGTCACGCAGGAAGCCGTAGTCTTTCTGCAGGAGGGTCCTGGAGAGGGACACACACGTGCTGGCACCCGCCTTGGCTCGGGCCAGCATGCCCTGGCACTGGGCACACCCTGGCACAATGGCCCTGTCGGGGGGACGGGTGGCTGTACCTGCTGCAGGTGGCACACATGAGGAAAGCCAGCAGGTTGTAGACGAGGTAGGTGAAGAGCACAGCAGAGATGGTGCCGCGTGGGATGGAGTAGCTTGGGCGCTTCAGGTCCCCTGTGGGCAGAAGCAGGCGGCATTAGTGCCCACAGGCACAGCACCCCCCTGCTCTCCTTCAGCCTCAGCTCCCGCTCCTGGTGCCACCCAGCCCAGCACTCCCTGCCCGTACCTGACATGTTGGAGCCTGCCATGATGCCGGTGCAGCCGTTGAACATCACCGCGAAGACGGAGCTGAAGCTCATCATCTGCCCAGTGGTGTAGTCCACCCCATACCCGCCTGCAGGACATACGGGCACAGGCTGTGACGCGCTGTCTGAGGCAGCATAGCCCCACCATATACCCTCTCCTCGAAGTCCCCATACACAAACTACGGGAGAAACCATCCCATGGCACCTGTTTTGTGCCCGCAAGCTCCCCCCACCCTCTCGTGAGCCCCTGCCAATGTGGAGGTGCCAGTGTCACCCCTCCCTGGGGCACAGGTGCCATGGTGGGTATGGTGGGCAGGGTAGGGAAAGCCGCTCCTCACCGCCCAGGTTGTCTCGCAGGGTGGCGAGTGAGAAGCCAGTGAAGGAGCCGTTCTCTGTCTCGGAGCCATTTAAGTAGGGCAGGCGGATGGGCACCCCAATGGGCTGCGTGGCGAAGAAGCTGACGAGGACGGTGCCCAGGACACCCGCGACGATGAGGAAGATGAGGAAGGTGGCCTTGGCATAAATGGAGGCACCCACAAGGCACACAAGGAGGCAGAGGGCCAGCAGCACGGTGCCGTAGAGCAGCTCATACCAGTAGCTCTGGGGCAGGACATGGACGCCTGCGCCCACTTTTTGCCCTGGGCAGAGACAAGCCAGGATCAGCGGGGCTCGGAAGGGGCATCACCAGGAGCTGAGAGCCACCGGTGTTGTGCCAGGCATGATGGGCAGCAACTCACCAGCCAGAGGACTGGGCGAGCCATGCCAGCTATGCCGGGCATGGTGCTTGGCATGCCTGGCAAGGTGCTAGGGCTACTCGGGTAAAGGACACCCGCTGTCCCCTGCCACTGCACGTGGGGGTACTCACCAGGCGGGATCCCAAAGCTGTCCACCACCGCCTCCACCAGCCCCAGCACATAGAGGGCACTGCCACACACGTTGGCCAGGAAAAACATGATCCCAATGCTTCCCCCGAACTCCGGGCCCAGGGCACGGCTGATCATATCTTGCTCGAGTCAAGGGAAGATGCCAGCAGCCCAGACCACCATTGGGTGCTCCCACCCCTCCCTCCCAGGCCAGGGGGGTCACAACCCCAGCGTGGCGCCCCAAGGCCACTGGGTGGTCACCCGATTTTGGCACACATGCCCTGTCCTGGCAGCACCCACAGCAAAGGATACAGTAGGCTCCTCCGGCATCCAGCGCCCCGTTGGTGGCGATGGCACACACGGACAGCACCGTCATGCCGATGATGAAGTATGCCACCGCAAACATGGCCAGGGCTTGGTACAACCCAGCATGGCCCACCACGAACCCTGCCGAGGGTGGGGGAGAGGGCAGCGTGCCCATTAGCTGGGCACGGACCACCCCCCAGACAGGGTCCCCGGGCACAGCCAACCCCCAGACCTCATCCTCACCGAGGCACATAGGCTGCTCCTATCCCCTTGCCCACAGCTCCCCCCAGATGTGCCACCCCCTTCCCTGCCAGGGTGAGGATCTCCCCACCCCGGGGTGCTGCCACCTCCCACCTGCAGCAGCACCCAGGGCCAGCCCAGCCAGTGCCCCCCACCTCAGGGCATCTCCATCCTCCTGCAGTGCCATGATCAGGCGCAGGCGCACCCTGGGCATGGGCAGCTCAGAGGGGCACACCCAAAAAGCAAACAAACAGGGCAGGGGCTCTGCTGCCTGCCGGCCCTGGGGCACTGCAAGGGGGGTGCCGGGACCCCTGTGCCCTGCTGCTACCCTCAGTGGGCAGGGGGTGCCTTGCACCCCAGCTCGGGCACCAGGAGCTGATGGGCTCCCCACAGGGTTCGTGTTGCAGCCCCGCTTGCCTGCTGCAAAGCAGGAAGCAAAAGCAGCCCCAAGGCATCCCCGCCAGCCAGGGCACTGCTCCCCGCTCCCCGCCCCCCCGGGACAGGGCACCCAGAGTGCCCCGCGGCCCGGCCCGGGGTGATGGGAGGCAAGCCCAGCCGGCGGCGTTGCGGGCAGGAAGGGGCTGCCCGTGGCTGCAGGGAGATGCCCTATCTCAGCCACAAGCCAGGCCACAGCCATGCCTGCCGGCAGCGAGGGGGGTGCCGGGGCATGGCTAGGGCATGGGCATCGCAAGGAGCCCCTGGGGAGACAGGCTGGGTTTGGGGGCACCCCCTGCAATCCCTGGAAGGCTGAAGGGTGCCCAAGTGCCAAAAGCAGGGGCGGGGAGGGTGTGGGGGAAATAAAGGGTGCCCTGAAAGCAGTGTGGGGGTAAGCAGGAGGGCCTGCTCACCTTGGAGATCTGGGGGTTGTTTGAGGCGTGGGGGAAGCAGGGGCTGCCGGGGGGGGCCACGGCCCCCCCCCGACTTGGAGATCTGGGGGTTGTGTGAGGCGTGGGGGAAGCAGGGGCTGCCGGAGGGAGCCACGGCCCCCCCACGGTGGGACAGTTCCTCTTCTCGGCAGCTCCCCTCCCCCTCCGCCCCACACTTCCCTTCTAGCCCCAGGGCCCCCCGGGGTAACGCACCTCTGGGCCAGGGGGCCGGGGCAGGCAGTGGGACCCCGGTGCCCACTGTGGGGTAGGGGTTGGGGGTAAGAGCCTTTGCAAGGACCCCAAGCAGGGGGGTGGGAAGGGGGTGAGTGATGGCAGGGGAGAGCTGTGCCCACAGCCCACAGCCTGGGGGGTCCCGCAGGCAGGGGAAGGGGCTCAAGGCCCCCCCAGGACCTACCAGCCCTCCCTGGCACGCAGCCAACTCCCGCCCTGGGTTTTCTGTAGGCGGAAAGTGAAAGAGGAAAAGCCTTAAAGCCTTCCCTGTTCCTGGACCAGGGCAGACGCTGCCTGCCCTAGGCCTCTGCCTGCCCCAGGCCGGGCTAGGGCATCTCCCTTCCCCAGGGCCCCCCCAAAGGGCTGCCACCTCCCCCGGTTCATGCTCAGCCTGTCCCCCTAGTTCTCCCAGGTTGCCCAGAACAGACTCATAACCCAAACTGGGAGCAGACTAGGACCGTATCTGTGCCCTCTGAACAGCACAGAGCAGGAGGGGCAGCTTGGGGCCTGATGGGGGGGACACCGGGGTCCTGCCCTGGGGATACCATGTGGGAACTGGGAGAGAACTGGTGTGCTGTACTGGGGGTGCTGGAGCCCGGCCCTGGGGATGCCTGGGAAGCAGCGGGGTCCCAGCACTGGGGGATGGAGGAACACGAGGGCACCGGGATCCTGCTTAGGGAAGGCACTGGGAAGGCACAGGGATCCTGCCCCAGGGACACTAGGGCTTCAGACTGGGGTCCCTTACTGGGGGCACTGAGGTCCCTAACTGGGTTTCCATCCTGCGGGTACAGCAGGAGCCCTGAGACCCCAGGCTGGAGGGGTCAGGAGAGGACACACAGCACTGGAACCCCAGCCTGGGGGAGATCTGGGCGGGCACTAAGAGGGCACTGGGACTCCAGACTGGGGGGCTCGGGAGAGGGCTCGGGAGAGGGCACTGTCACAGACCACTGGGACTCCAGAGAGGGAGGCTCAGGAGAGGGCACTAGGAGAAGTCTGGGGACCCAGTGGGGGAGCTCAGGGCGGAGCACTGGGACGTCAGACTGGGAGGCTGAGGGGGAGTACCGGGAGGGCAAAGGGAGGACACTGGGGCTCCAGACTGGGGGGCTCGCGAGGAGCCTCGGTCACGGGAGAAGCCTCGGGAGGGCGCGGGGCCCCGGGATGACACGGGGCCCCGACACGGGGCCCGGACTGGGCTGGG